ATGAAGAAATGCTAAAGCTAAGTGTTATACAAATTGTTGGAACCAGCCTCCCTTTTCATATCTCTAGTTTTCCAGCTCAAATTAATTGTTCTTGTCGAATAATCAATGTACAGGGGGGATTATACTCTAAATATCTCATATGCATAATAACAATAAGCAATGATCAGGCATCTTGAGCCTAAATAGGTTCCTGAGCAGAGGTTTAATCAAAGCATGGTGGTCAGCAGCAGGATGAGCAGACATAGTTTTAATCCTGTTGTCTATATACATCTGTACTTATTTTTACTTATGTGGCTACAGAGAGAAGATAGATATTTACAAAAACAAAACAAAACCCCATCTTACAGTCCTACAAAAGCTCCATGTGCAACTAATTAACTGAACAACTGAGATTTGGCATTATCCATGAGTGGCAACTCCCAAGGTGAAAGAGGGTTTCTTGTGGTTGCCTGCTATTATTTCTTCCTTTGGACAGTCTGCAAGTCACAACAGTATGTGCCACTTCCAGGGGTTTGCACAAGCAACCTAGCATTCACAAGTTATTAATGTGATGTCCAACCTGGACAGTCTGGGTTCTTTATGCACTAAACAACCATGATTGTCTGGGTTCAGATATCTTACCAACAACCTTCAAAGCTAATGCAAACTGTTCATGTGCAGCACACATCCCCAGAAACTGTAGTTAAGGCATTATTTATTGCCATGATATGTGAACCAGATCACTGCTGTATTTTAGTTATATTATTAATGGATTTGTTTTCTGTTGCATTTAATTTTATATTTTGTATTTTAGGTTGTTTAGCACATTGAATGTCAGCTTTGGTAGAAATGTGATTTATCAATCAATAAATAAAGCATTCACTAATTCGACCATGTGACACCAGGCATCCAAGTCTCAGAGTGTAAGGAAATTCCTAGAGAGCAGGAAAAAGAATCAGACCATGACACATGATCAACTGTACTGCTATTCTCCATTAATGATTTACCATCCTTATCATTCAGCTTCACAGTTAAGCAGCCAAGCTAAACTTCCCTATTACAGATTGGGAACTAAGTCTAAAACCACAAGGTATCCATTAGGTGAACTGCTTCCTTATGTGTCAGGGAGATTGGCAGCAGAAGCAAACTGCACAGTTGGCCTTATACAGGAAGGAGTGACACTGACAGCTGCCAGGTAGAAAAGAGGAGAAACAGGCTGGCCTACAACTAGGAACTACACCTCCCATCAACCCAGCCAATCAGACCAATGGGCATGTTGGATTATGGGAACTGTTGTCCAATTTATAGAACAGGCAGCCAGGTTGGAGAAGGCTGGTTAACATCATCTTTATAATGAACTCCTTCCTCCATCCAATCTAGTGTCAGGTGATGGTCTCACAAAATCTGTGAATCTCTTTTTTCATATGGTGAGCTAAATACAATAAAAGTGAATTTACAGAGGTGCCCACTAAGGTTAGGTCTAAGCAAAGATTTGAAATGAGGTCCAAACCCAACATTTTAATCTGCTCTACCACACCATTCTACATACTTTCTGACATTCCTCTACATTTTTATTCAGTGCTTATTCAACATCAAGAAAGTTTTGAATAACAGGCATCACCATTCCTCTCCCAGAAAATCTTGGTAACCCTAGCTGTATATAGAACTCCAGTTAAGAATTTTCAGCATTTTGATCAAACTGCAATTTCCTGGCTTCTATGTGGGAAGCCATGATAGGTAAACTGGCTTAAAATCAATAATTTATAGATATCCTCAAAGTAAAAATAAAAGTTTGACATTCATAGGATCTGGTGCTTCTAATTGCCAAAATGGTTTCCACAGATTGCACAAGCAAGTAGAGGAAGGCAGAAAGAACTGCTTTCCTTGAAATATGTGTGATTTCACCAGGCAATACACTGAAATTGCAAACTGCATATAGATTCCTATTTGTTGTGCAAGGAATAGGATGCTTCATGGAGCAATCATAAAATCCAGGCATCTAAAGCTTGGAGGTTTGTCAACACAAACAGTAGCTGGATATCTAAAAAGTCAACCTGATTTTGTCATTCAAGCTGATTTCTAAACATTTTCCCCAACTTTGCCTTCTCCCCATGCAAAAATAGCATCCTTTTCCTTATATAATTATTAATTAAATAAATAAAACATCCATGTCAGCTAAGTTACCTATTTCTGCAATCCTTAACAACTACAGTAAAATAGTAAGCAATTGAGAAAGATGAACTTTGAAATTCATCATCTATTAAATAAAAAGTAAGAGAACAAGTTAGGAAAGGGCATTAAACATTTGCTCTACCATTTAGGAACAATTAACTACTGATCAGTTTCCCCCACCTCTCCATAATGGCTCTCATTCCAACAGAAACATGTTTTCCTAGCCTTGACCTCTAAATATCTCATTTGTAACGTAACTTCCATCATTTACTTGAAGGCCACATCTTGATTTTGGCTCTAAAGCACCACATGCCAATGCTAAGCTCAGAAACAAGCATCTCCCCAGTTCTAAGTATCTCATATTTTAACATTTATTCTTCCAACTTTTAAAAAGGAGAAGAGACTTCCTAGAGGATGGATTGCCCTTGTTAGTGGCATCAGGGCAAGTATAAGCAGAAGACAGATTATGATCCACCACTGAACCACACAGCCCAGTGGATCACCTAAAACCTACTGGTGACTGGAATTCTCATAAAATATGCTAGACTAGGATGCTGGATTTCATCTGATTCAGTAACTCACTTTGTAGGTTTTTAAGAAAAGTGTACAGTTAGCACCATGTAACACAGGCTATTAACACGTTCCAGACATTTTAGACCAGACCTGGGCATTGTACGGCCTGCGGGCCACATCCAGCCCGATGGCTGACTCTGACTGGCCCGCATGAGGTCACTGGCAAATTAAAAGTCAATGCAAATATATATTGTCGTAATATAGATGCAAGCAATACAACTATATTGCTTTTATTTTGAAGGATCTACTAAATTGAATTGAATTTATTGCTTTTCATGTAATGTTAATGTTTTTGTGAATAGTCATTAAATAGTGTTGTTCTGTGCTCCACATTTTCATTGTACCATTGTAATGTTTCATTTACTGTTTTTATAGAGATATATATTGAGCAGAGCTGTAAGTGTATTGGTCCAGCCCTTAACAACTGTCAAAGTGTCTCATGTGGCCCCATAGGCAAATTAATTGCCCACCCCTGTTTTAGACTATAAATGCTATTATCCCCAAGCAGCAAAGTTAGCATTTATGAGAGCTGCTGTCAAAACATATGGAGGGCATCCAACTGCCTATACTTATGTTAAGAGATCCTGAGTACACACTCCTGCCCAACACATCAATGGACCACATAAATTTTCAGAAGACAGCAAAAAAGTAAGCCAAATAAGTCAACCTTCCAGTTATCTGGCAGAATTCCCATTCCTTCCAGCAGCAATTTAAGACTTCTTGAGACTAGAGAATCAAAGAACATTCTGGGGGTGGAGGGCATTCCTGCACTCACATCCATCAAAGCATTTTAAGCAGTCTAGATATATGTGAAAACCAATTATACACAATACTGTAAAATTTTAAAAAACTCTTTAACTTATTAAAACAAGACTCCCCTTTCCACCCCTTTCTAAAACAATCCAACAGTCTATTTCCCAGTGTTATGTCGTTACACAAGGAAGAGTGCATGGTGACCCCACAGGGCAGGACCCCGCTTTAACCCATCCATTTTTATTGATATAAGAACCCACACAACAGTGCTTATCATTCTTGCTTCGCAAGTACAAGAGTACAAACCTCTTCATGCACATCTCCATTTTTCAAGGCATATTCCCTCTGTTTCTCTCACCTTTTTACCAAACAAGTTTTCATCCTCCACAGCAAGTTGATACAGAAAGACAAACTCCAGCGTCAGTCACCATACACAACTTTCCATGTTGCAAGGGGCTTACTATAGCACAGCTGCCACTGCAATCACTGAGGATCCAGCTCCCATAGCCAACTCTTTAAGTCCATAACCCAGGCATAGGAGGCAGGGCAGGACATAGGTCCTCCCTACTAAAGGAACTAGTCAGCTCCAGAGGGGACACGATGCATGCTACCTGCTCTCAGGCTGCAAGCACCCAAACCTCTTCTCCTTCTTTAATACACTGGGATGAATAAAGGTCCACAGTACTTTTCTGTTTCCTGCTTTGTGAAAAGGTCTGAGCAATGTTAGAGAGCAGTTCTATGCATATTTAACCAGGAAAAGGTCCTGGAATCATAACTTTCAGCATTCTCCAGCTAGAATGGCTGGCTGGAGAAATGTTGGGAGGTGGAGGCTTTTTTTCCTGTATAAGCATGCACTGAGGAGGGTTCCCTTAAGTGACTCAGTAAAAAAGCGGAAGCTGCATCAGCACCCACATTTACGTATGTTGCACAGAATACAAAAGAATTGTGCACAAAGTCTATAATAATAAAGAATCCTAGCCAGTGGCCATCACAACATTTTTAGCACGGAGTATAAAACAGTAGTTACAGCTCCTATACAAATGAGCAGCTACATTTACAGGCAATTGACCCCAAGTGCCATATGCTGGGGATGAACAGTAGAACAATCCCATCGTCTTTCTGCCCTGTTTCTGGGCTTCCTGGAGACAACTGGCTGGCCGGTGCTCCTAAGAATATGCTAGAGGGGCCTAGATTTGGTCAGACTCTCCTTTCCTTCTTTGTTGTTGTTGTTAGTCGCGAAGTCATGCCCGACCCATCGCGACCCCATGGACAACATTCCTCCAGGCCTCCCTGTCCTCCACCATCCCCCGGAGTCCACCCAAGCTCACACCAACTGCTTCAGTGACTCCATCTAGCCACCTCATCCTCTGCCGTCTTTTTCTTTACCTCCCAGCAATCACAGGAGCGCTACCGGTCCCACAGCGAAGTCTCTACCCTAGTGTCCAGCTCTTCAGCAGAAGCTCCCCATTCCCTGCTCCGCTACAGGGTCTCCCTTGTCCAGGCACGTGTGCCGCACCGCTTACCTACTCAAGCCAGCCATGTGCGCGCTTGCTGCTTTCGCATCCCGTCCGCGGAGCAACGCGTTTAAAAAGGCATAGCGTGCACCCCTGAGAGTAGCGCCCTGAAGGAAGCCCATCTGCCGTTTTTTTAGGGTGGCGCCCCATAAACCCGAATCGCTGTCACGAAGGGGACAGCGTGCAGAAGGGTTGACGCACTGCACTAGGTCGAGGACGGGGCGAACCGTCCGCCAGCCCAGCCGACCGGAAGCGGCGCAAAGGCCGCTTCCTGGGCACGCGTTGATCCATGGGAGGGCAAGCGGAGGGGGGGTGAGATCAATGCGCCGTCGCCAATGCACTGAATCAAGAAACGAACGCATGCGTGTACGCTGCCTGCAATTCTGCATTAAACGTAAAGCCTTGTTAGCCAACATAGATGCACGGCGCAATGTTATAGAATTAACCCCATGCTATTCAATAAGGCTTCCTCCCAAGTAAGCGCACAGAGGTTTGTGGTCTCCCGGGTGGAGGGGGAGGCATATCCAACATATAATGGGGGTTTCCATGGAAGAACTGAGTTGGGACTGAACCCTGACTACTAAAGAACTCCTGGGCATCAAACGACCACGCGGATCGATGTATTCCAGGAACAGGGCGATGCACATTGGAGTGGGCCCTCGGTCTGAGAGGCGGCCCGATCCTCCTTATGGGGCCGCTAAAACGAAATGTGAACCAGAGGTGTCAGTCTACAATTTTCTGCCTCTGTGGTGCATTTGGCTCCGCTTTCCAAATATGTCGCGGTTTTGAGGGAGGCACTATGGTTCCTCCGGCTCAGATCGTCGAATATTCGCTGTAGTCGGTGAGCTCATCGCAGCCTGTACCTTGGCACTTGGCGTCATGGCGATCTAGGCCTATGTTTTTACACTCTCAAGGTGGCGTCTTCTCAGTTCTACATCTCTCACAGTTACTGCTCACTACGGTTGTCGCGAAATACGTTTCACACTCCTTATAACACGTAGTCTTATGCAGCTTAAGGAACCTATGCAACTCGCACATTAAAAATTGGTGACACACATCTCGGGGCATCTGTGGACAAATTAGCTTTCCATGAGTTCTGTGAGGGTTGTTTAAGTTTCACATAGCCCACGTTTGCAGGGCTTACTTGACACAACAAGCCCCAGACGGGGTGCATATTTAACATGGCACCCATGGTCACCCATTAAATAACCCATGATGAGCTGCCTCATGAAATCTGAATGTGTTATTCCTCTTGCTGAAGGGAGACAAACTAGCTTCTCATGACAATCTATGGTGTAGCAAGTGGTGATGGGTTGCATTATGCAAACTGAAAACATTCTCTCCAGGTGGTTTGTGAGAAGGTAGCAAGCCACCCTGACAAGCCATAGCTTGTTCAGCCTTGATTCATTGGTACCTCATTCAAGCTCAGCAACTGTCCCCATTGTGAATGAAGGGAAGGGGCAAGTTGTATTTCTTGACCAGAGGAACAAAATCCCCTTACTGCTTTTTCCAAGCTTAACTGCCTGGGACAGCCACCATATATGTGCCAAAGCAACTTGCTGTCTGCTACAGTTAAAAGCCATTTTGAGCTCTCTGCAGCTTTCTCCCACTTTACTCTTTTTTTCAGAGATAAAAGCATATGTGTACAAATGTCCCTGTGAAAAACCAAGGGAAGCAATGTCAAAAAAGAGGGAAATAACCTTCTAAAAGGAACTGGTACTTTGACAACTAGCTGCAGGTACCTTCCTGGATGTTGTTGCCCATTTTCAGACCTCCATATGTGTGCAGGTGCACATTTGAACACGAATGGAAAATATATTTAAAAGTGCACAAATACTGGCATGCATTAGGGATCCAAACATTATTTTAAAATAGGTTGCAACTGCAGATGGATCTTTTCAGGTGTTGCTCACACACTTTGAAGGGGCTGTTCAACTTGGATTATGAAAGCCAGCTGTGAAGTTGGGCACACCATGGGTTGTTTACAGAACAACCAACTCATTGTATCTTATTGCCAGGTTGAATCAAAGTGACTTATCTAATGGACCAGTTCACATGATCACTGCAGCCCACCATAGCTTACTTAAACCCTGTGGCTTGCAGTTCATGCCAGTTGCTATTGTTAATATCCACACAGTGGTGGGCAAACAGTGGTGGGCAAACCCACCCACCCCCCAATCTGTGGGCTGTTTTTGTATTGGCATGGTTTGTTCATCATTGCAACAAGCCACCCTGCCCTATTCACAGTAAACGATAGCAACTACCAAACATGGACTGTATATTCACAATGGCTGCTGACATGCATTGCAACCCACTATTTGATTGATTGTATTTATACCCTTCCTTTTTCCTGCAAGAAACCCATGGCAGCTAACATAATCCCCCTCCTCTCCATTTTAGCTTCACAATAATCCTGTGAGAAAGGTTAGGTTGAGAGTCAGTGACTGGTCCAAAGTGATCCAATTAACTCCAGAGCCAAATGGGGACTGGAACCTGAATCTTTGAAATACTATCCAACACTCTAACTACTGCACCATGCAGCAGTCATGCAAATTAGATCAACAGCATTTTTCCTGCAGTTGAAAGTAGTTTATTTCATTCTTATCCTGCCAGGTAGCATGCTTAATCTCACCCTTTTATTTGCAAAACACTCTGTGAAGCAGGGATTGAAAGAAAACTTGCCCAATTAGTTGAGTGGTTCTGTTTAAAAAGTTCAAAACACAACTACGCCACACCATGTTTACAGAGGCACAGCTGTTTTGTGGCATACACACTCACTCTATTTTCATCTTTGGTAAACAAGTTTTGCAGGGATGGTAGCTGTGTTGTTTCCAGACCCTGAAAAACCCACCTGGTCATTGCCCGTTATACACCAAAGAATGTTTATATGCATTATTTAAAAAATATTGTTGCTCCAGCTCCATAAAATACCTCTGGTCACAGTGGCCATATTTTCACTTAAGGTTGCAGAATTATTATCAACATATTTTCATCAGTATCCACATTCCTGCTTTTTATTACATATTTGTGCTCACCCAGAATTTTCTTATGGAATACCTGTGTTCATGATCTGACATACTCTTCATCACATTGATTTACAGGGCTTCAAATTCACTTCATGCTTCTAGAGGCAATGTTTCCTTGCACACTATAAATCAGATTTGCCTTTCTTACCATCCTTCATGCAGTGTTACATGCTTCTGCACAGGCCTTTAACTCATGTTATCCATTCATATCACTTCAGGTTCTCCTTACACAGTTGAAATATATGTTGATTTTTGTGAAATACATTTTGTTCCCTCATACAACTTGTGTTTATACTATCTGTCAGAATGTTTATCTCACTTCACAGAGGTCATCTTTCGTGTTGTACAGACCCAGACTCACTGATATTTGTGTATGTATGTTTCCCACAGACTTGCGCTGTTCATTACATCACTTGGAAGACTTCACTGGGCCTCAGCTCACACCCTTCACCCTACCTGAGACCACACACACACTTTTCTTATTTAATAATGCCTCCTCACAAATCCTCGTATTTACATACTTGCACTCCTGTAGCTCCCATACTTTGTTTGTACTCGTTCTTCATTGAAATTGACTCACACTGAGGTAACGGAAACAACTTTTTCTCATACAAGTTAAGGCATGGTAAGTCCAGTTGGGAATTCTTTGCTTCAGGCTGATACGATTTTCAGGGAAATTGTTTTGGTCTACATGGCTGTGGTTTTTAATGCCACATCCCTTATTCAAAAAGATCCGCCCCCGCCCTCCCAGCCCAATGTCTTCATATACTAAAAAGTCAGAGCCCTAATTTCTGCCATGTCTGACAAGACTGCTTTTGACCTTCATATACTTTTCTTCAAGCCCTAGGGCCATCTATTCCTCTAATTCTCAGTTTCTTCCTTCGGTATAGCCCACGTAGTCTTTGTACTGTTAATGGCTTGTAAGAGCACAAAATTACCACATCAGAAAAGTTACCCCATAACCTTGCCATAACCATACCCCATAACTTCATAACACATAACCTTGTAAAAATTTCATCTGCTTGAAACTTCTATAACAGACTTTTTTCTTCTGCATCATGTACGTATCTTATTTCTTGAACTGGGGGCCTAGTCTACAATCTTTGGAAAATCACAGTGTGATGATGCTCTGTTTCAATTATTCCTGCTGTCTTCTAGGCTTTTTCAGTTCATACATGAAGCTTGGAGAGGGAGGGAGCCAGAGTGTTTCTCATTTTGAAATGTCTGTGAGAGTCCTATTTACTGTTAGGAAGACACATGCAGCTTCCAAAATAGATTTTTTTAGCCATCATGTTTCAGTATAAACAGAAAGCACCTTAGATGTGCTTCACAAATGCTAGAAATGGGAACCTGTAGTCAGCAACTGGATGGAGAGGAACCAGTAGCTACATAAAGAGGAAAGGGCATCTTTCATCTAGGCGCACCATCCTACAGTTTGATCTCTTGGGAAACTATAATAGGTTATTGAATTGGACTTCCAGTTCCTTTGGTACACGTCCACTGGTGCTGAGGAACAGCCTGCCTGCACAACACATCACTGAGTGGGCAGCAGGGTATATCTATGGGTAAAAATGTGTTTTGCTGTCAGCATATAGGGATTCTCTTTCATTTTGCTTTTCATTCCCATACATTATCCAGCTACGTGGTCTCTGTTAATACATATATTTTGAATTTCTGACTTGTTGAACTACCTGAGCAAAAATATATGTATTTCTTTTGTATGGGAATAGTTTGGATAAGGTACTTATTTTTTTCCAATTTTCTATTACTGAAAATTAATGAGGAAAGTTTCAGGCTGCCCACATACATATACTACTGGGAGAAGACTGGGCACAGGCTACACCCTCAAAGATTATTTTGTGTCTTTATAGAGCAAATGTATTTTTGCAGTTTTAGTCCTTTTCTGTAACACAAAATGTGAGATGATGCTACCAAGAGAGGATTGTAAATACATCAATTGTGAGGTTAGTTGTCCAGCTGGCTGCTATGGTGACAAAGGTGCCTAATACCTTAGGCACACAGTTCTGATACAGAGTCATTGTGGAACCTTAGGGGAGTCACTTAACCCTTTGTTTGTCCATCTATACAATGGGGAGAGTGTTTTTTTCTGGTCATCAAGTGGGGACTGTGTGTTATATTCAGCGGGTGCTCCTGCTGAACTGAGTGCCATAGGGATGCCTGCTTTTTCCTATAAATAATAGCAACCAAGTGCTATATATCTATTGACTG